GCTAATTTCGTGCAATTTGGTTTCAAGTAGAACATAAGGTTAACGGAAACCCGGGGACTGCGCCTACCTGATGAGCCCCAATAAGGGCGAAACCGGTCGTGGGCCGTCGATAGATTTTCAGCAACCTTATGAGGGATACATTCACTTCATGAAACAAGGAGGTTTTGGTGCGCATCCAAATTTTGATGCACAGGTTTCACCGGACTGGCTTTGTGAACTTCTGGCACATCTCACATCTCATTTGAACTTATTTTACAAGCCGATTGAATTGGAAAATGTTTACGTGTTAGGAAGAACCGATACTTAGCTACCATTTAGTTGATTCCGAAAGTTCATTAAACATGGTGAATGGAGAATTCCAACATTCGTCACATTCTGTTTGTGTGTTTCAGCCAGTACGATAAATCGGTTGGGAATTTGGGCCACTTGGGAGTAGCCCACTTGTTAGTTCAAACTTGTTACAGTTTTCCATGAACACCTGCTAAGCCTTGGATTTTAGGGTTCCATTTGTGAAGACCACCATATGTTTCATTCTGACTCTAGCCTTGGTCAGAAGTTTAGTTTTGTTAGGTGTAAAAAAATGACCAGGGAGGATCATACATACCCCCACAACACAAAAATTCACCTGTTTAATCCATAAGGTGTGATGTGGACATACATTCACTTGGAGCGGATGATGTTCATCACCGATTCTTGCCAGATCCGTCACGGTGAAAGTCTCCAAAGCGTTTCGGTTCACGCTGTTGGGGCCTTTTGGCAGTGGAGCGACTCAGACAGTTTCTAGTCAGCTGTAGTGTAAACAGTAGGGGGATCAGACGCCAGAGTCTATGATGGACTACCATAAAAACGGTTCGCCCGCGCAAACCAGTTGGATTAACTGCTCTGATGAAAGCCCATTGCAGAATTGCCGTTATCGGACGATATCGACCTTTACAACGGAAACTGAGTATGGTGAAATTTTCAGGGCAACCATTTACTCAGAAAATCCTCTCTCTGATTTTGGCCCATAGGGTCCATCATTTTCAATTATGAGCCACGCATGCAATACATTTGGTGATGTGGTGGGCTTCACGTTTTGTTTATTCACTGAGACGTCTGCTTGTAAAAACGCTCGGGAAGACACAACTGTATTCTCCTCTGTGGGAATGAGTCATATACAAAAAACAGCCGTTTTTCTCCTAAAATGTACTTTAGAGTATCGACAACTGAGTAAATCAGCAGGATTGCTATAATAAGCTGGTTTCAGATGAATGCATACTGAACCGTTGTGTTCCAGTAGCGGCCAACATGGATGACATAGTACGCGGCACAGCCTTGCTATCAGTACAAGAATGTACGTTCACGTGGTTCGAACTCGACCTCTGCCTGTCGACTTCCACTGTCTAGGCTTGGACAACCTGGCAGTAGCCCATCCCTCTCGCAACCTTAGGGTGGCACGGCGATTAAGCACCGAGTGGGTGCTACAGCTGAAAGAAAAGATCCTGGCTGAAAGAATTCTAGGACACGACCAAGGGTCATTTTCCTTGTAAATGCTTGATGTCATGGTAAAGGTTATCACGTCCAGCGAAGCAAGGTATACAAACAGAAGGGACATCCGCGGAAGCACTGTCAATCCCCTGATTCGATTTCAAAGCGTTAAAGTTAGTTCGGCCAACTCGAGCAACTTCACGAATGTGGATCACGTATGTGTTGATGTTCAATGGAAGTTTCAATGCCAGCCACTTTGGAATATCTAGGTGACTTTCAGTGTTTCTACTGTCAAGCTTAGCCCGATGGAATCATGCTCTCACCAATAAAGAATTCTGTTCCAGGATAAGTAGGAACCCCAATATAGAATGCTGGTACCGCTTGGTCGATCGTTCCACTGGACCTTACCACAAACATCGCACTGTCGGGTTCCGTAACCGTCGAGTCTGTAACTATGGGGCTAGATGACTTGCTTCATCGGCCATATTTGCAATCGAAACAGGTCTAGACGTACTTTCTTTGCCTCGTCTTCTTAATAAGAAGCCCTGATGAATAGTTTAGCGGCAATCCACCTTCAACCGTAGTCTCAAGAATATATCTCAGTGCTAGGATCTTAGTGGAACCAAGCCACCTTCAATATACATTACCAGTTTATGGAGACGGAGGGTAGCGTCATTTGTATATGCGTGGAATATCACACAGAACCAAGCCGAAGCTCAGATGAGCAAGCAAGCAAACTCTCCTCTACATGATAATAAAATAGGTAGAAATCGATCAATATACACATTAAAATTGATCTTCAACATACACGCGATGCTTATTTAGGCGAACAAACGTCAGTTTTTGACGGAAAGCGTCATGTCTGAATCCCGCTATGAGACTGTAGAAGGTACAACATTCCAATTAAAAGAGTCTCAAACTAGTTGCTTGAATATTTAGAACTAAATACGAGGATGTTGTAGGCGACGCTTAAACGAGATTGTTGCTGCAACATTTGGATATTCCGGGCGAGAGGACTCAAATGGTTAGAGCGCGAGTTTACCGACCGTAAGGTCCGTGGTTCGAACCCAATCTTTGCCTCTCGACTTCCCTTGTCTAGGCTTGGGCAACCTGGCAGTATCCCAGCCCTCGTGCCTCCTTCCGGTGGCACGGCAGCTAGAAACTGAAAGGGTTTAACAGCTGGAAGATTTTTCTGGATATTCTGTTGACGTACCGGTAACACGTGTTGGTCATGAGCTGTAGTTTGAACGTCTTGAAGAATCGAGTTGGACTGCTAACGAGTTTGTACAGTACTTTCTGAGAGCAAATGCAGTGAATTACACATCAGCTTGAGCGCAGTTCAGCCCAAAATACTGACGGCTGATTTCATTTAACTTGTCTGTGGTTAAATATACTCATTTTGTGAGAAAATCGCTTATTAACTTCTTGGATGAAGATGTTAGGAAAATCAACTCATGCCATCAAGACGGAGTGAGTTGTCCTCAAAATCTTACAGCGTCATCTCTGTTCCAGTCGCAACAAATAGACATTTTGAATCTACACAATAGAAAACCCAGAGAGCCGGGCCGGACGAGGATTTGAGATGGGATATCAGTTGCTCCCCGTGAGTGTACGTAATTGATGACCTGAAGAAGACCCAAGCGGGAGGACATACTTGCTGATGCGGACAGGTAAGCGGAACCACCCGATGGTCAGCAGTGGCTACCAACCTCCGCTGATATTGGCTTATGCTGTCGACCGGTTAGAAAACGAGTGCCCCAATATTCGTAATAGATCAGGTTGCGTCTTTCTTTCCGCTCTTTTTACAACGACCCTGCTTAGCTTAACGTGAAATTACATCAGTAGATAATCGGTACGCAACACTGACGTTGCTACCCACTCTCATGTTCACAGATTCCGGTATGATTCTGAAGAAAGCCAACAATGTAGTGGAACATTTGTTTATAAGTACCCGTATAAACGGGAAAATGTGGGCTATGTAGTATCAGGAATTTTCGGAGTGTTTGTCGGAAACATTTCCGTATGACTGAGGCCAACTTTCTGTTCTGCAAGCAAACGGCGGTAGACTGTGTCAAAAGCTTGTTTCAGGGACATAATGGCGTCACCGGTCAAACTGACCTGTCCCTAATATCCCTTTTAACCTGCTATTCACAGTGTTTGTGTTCTCACTCACGCACACACTCACGCAAACAAATCTATGGGTGTTTACGTTGAGCAGCAAGCGTTCAGCTTCTCGTGAACTTCCATTGTTCCGTTTCCCAATTGTCCACAAGCGAACAACTCACCTGTCAATCAAATCTGATGATAAATGTCCATAAATGGGTAATGTGTGTGAAAATGAACTACGGAACGAAGGTGTTTCACACCACCTAACGGTTCCATTCGATTCAACGCCCGTAAATTTTCCAGGCAAATGAAGTGGACATTGTCGCAAGAATAAGTATCTATCAAATAATAAAAATGATTCACGTAAAACCTTGTACACGGAAATTCTGCGTTATCCAGACCTATCGACAAGGTGGTGAGTCGGAAACACAAGGGTGCCTCAAGGCCATACGCATGTAAATCCCGTTCACGTGTTCCAGAAGCCTGTGGAAAAGATATTAGGATTGCTGTTACGGCGATCCGAGTTCAAAGAGCTGTAGTCCCTGTTCTCATAGTTTGTTCACGCATTGTTTCAGAAAGGAACAAAATTTGATGAGTTCTATTTCACCAAGTTCGCAGGAAAGTGATATCTGGAACACAACATTGCATAAGAAGGTCTCGACGGCCCAGTGGCTGGGGACACTACAAGAAATGGTTGATAATCAATGTCATCGGCGTTCGTGCTGTCAGTTTCTTTCCACATTGTCCGATTGAACCACTGGAGGTACAACCACTCCATGCTGCCTGCGGTAAGCCGGTACCAGATTATTCCCTCAGCCACTATTTGCTCGCATTCCTCGCATTCTAAAGCTTTACGCATGATTAGATAACCTCTGTGTGTTTGTACGGCAATGAAGTGTCAGTGTCCACAATGATTTTACAATCTCCCATGGTGCTGATGAGAATACACTGAAAAACTGACATTCTGAGCTGGGCGATTCGATTGCAAACGTTTCATCACCAATCAAGGTGACATTATCCGTGCGTTATTTGGGGGCGTGGTGGTGCGTAGCGGTGGGTTGGTGGTTGTGCGCACGCATTGATGATGTCACCTCGATTGAGTATGAAACGTTTGCGATCAAATTGCCCAGCTCTGCGAACAAGTCAACGACCGTCTACCCTACCTGAGCTACCAACATTTTCCTCCATAGAAAACTGACAATCTCGTTTATGGCCTAAATAAAATCGCAGTAGACTTTGAAATGACTTCAGTTTAGTGCTTTTCCTTTCGTGCAGAGCAACCATAATGAGAGGGATGGAACAGAAGGCGGATCGATCAAACAGGAACTATGCAGATGCAACGTCTCACGTTTTCAGCACTCGGGTAATATTTGATTCGGCTTTTTACGTCAAAGGTACCTTTCAAGTGGTAATCGTTTCCGAGTGAATTTCCAGATAGAATCACAAATGGGCAGCCGAGTTACCAATATATTACCGTGGAAATAGGAAAAATCAACAAAAATCAGAGGTGATACATGACTTTCAAGGTTGTTAAAAACTCTTCAACAGCCCACGACCGTTTCGGCCTTTTCGAGGAGAAACATCATGAGTCTTTTATCAAAACCAAATTGGTTTAGAAAAAAATCGTCCAGCTGTGTCTAGCTGTCATGCCACACGAAGGAAGCACGAGGGCTGGAATACTGCCAGGTTGCCCAAGCCTAGACAGGGAAAGTCGAGTAGCAGAAGTCAGGTTTACGGACCTTCTGGTCAGTAAATTCACGCTCTAATCACTTGGTCCATCTCGGATGAACAGATGAGTTCTTGTTTTGACCTAATACTGCACGGAAAACCGTTGAGTTCGGACTAATGTAGGCTTTTCATAAGGTGAACCAAGTGGTTAGAGCGCGAATTTACTGACCGGAAAGTCTCTGGTTCGAACCCGACTTCCGCCACTCGACTTTCCCTGTCTAGGCTTGGGCAACCCGGCAGTATCCTAGCCCTCGTGCCTCCTTCGTGTGGCATGGCAGTTAGGCACCGGAAGGGTGCTACAGCTGAACGATTTCATAAGGTTAGTAAAGGTGACGTTGCTTACAATCAGTTATGACAAGGTTCCCAACCACTGGATTGGGGTCACGTGGGTCGAAGCCGGGCACTGATCTTCGTTAAATCATGCAAACTCACAAGCGATAAGACCACGACATCAATGGCTAGTGAATTCCTACCAGTGTAACGGTGGACACTACTGATGGGGCATGCGAGTAGTATGTTTTCTCGTAAATCCACTTCGCGTCTCTTGCAAAGTGAGACCTATGACGGGATTTGTGGAGCCGTATTTGCTTGCATCTGAGCAACAGTCAGTGAACATCCAGGGAAGTTCAGGAAGACGCATTCATGGAGAAGATGGATATTCAATTTCTTTAAACAGGATGAATATGAGAGTTTTGCTTCCCTGTCCAATAGTCTGTGGCTGTTCAGTTGGCGCTTTCTCTATAAATAACTCCGCAGCGAAGGCCTTCTTCCTTTCACTAGTAGTGCTGGGTAAAGATACTGTGAGCTAACCGTATAAGATAAACGATGGTTGGTGGGGTTTGAGTTGTCTGGAGGCCGCTGGATTATCGACCGTGATATTGATTGCTTTGATGTACAAGTTGGGATCATTCGATCCAATATCACAACTAGCACAATGTGAATGAAGACTATTGGGGCGATCCTCACGAAGAAATTTGGTCCACCACACCACCGCTCGGCTTACAACCGTGCCAAATTCCGACTGAGTAGCAGAATGTGGAAATGTGTTCACATGTGAGCAAACGGTGGAGAGATTCAAGACCAGTCGACTACGCTTTGAGGCGAAACTGACTAGGCGGCGGTCGACATAACGGCTTATACAGAAAAGCTAAAGCTTTGAATCCGACTAGACACAGGGTTTTTAAGGATTTCAGCTAACATTTCAAGGAAAGTGTCACAACAAATAAGTGTCACAGCATTTTTTGACTTTACGTTCAACTGTATCAAGCTAGATTTTTTAGAGAATACAGTTTTCGGAATAGAATTCGTTTTTCTCAGAGCGGCAATTGTTATGCCAGAAGAAGCGCTCCATCCCGTTCGGTTGTACTGATTTGTGCTTTGAAAGAAGGGCAAATGACGATCAGCAAGTCGTGAGCTTGCAGTTCAACCTCACTGCCTAACTTGTAGGCGTCTAGAATACGAATTTTCTTGTGGCTGAGCTTTTAGGGATCCATACATGGTGTGCATCGGGCGTTGCTCACGCGTCGCTTTCGCTGTTGGTGTGGTATTCGATTAAATCTGGAATATTTTGCCGGTTGGATCGAGTTCGCCCAAACATTATGATTACGGATTTCCGATTGGAAAGGCAACCATTTCCACACTTCGTCTACAACGAACAGATGAGTCTAATTCAATCGGTACAAATGAAGTTGGACAGACGAATTTCACGTTAGCTGACACATCCGATGCTGCAACATTTTACCCACCACCAGGCGTTCGTAAAGCTAAATCTCAGTCCACTGTTTTACCGGCGATGCGTGAGACGTGTGCCCCACAATTCCTCGTAATGACAACTCCGTAGCGAAGTTGTTCTTTTTATTCGGATGTGATATTGGAGATGGGAATTAGGCTGAAACACGTTACTGAAAGCCTGTCACTTGAATCTGGTGGTGGATCTGCTCTCTCAGGCATTGATCTCATGAACGAAAAGAGCTTTTTTGTGGTGATTTCTTCCTGTAAGTGAAGCCAATCTATGCTGAAAAGCCTAGAAGTACTGTACCGCTGTTTCATCCTTATTGGGAATCATCAGCAG